TGCGGTAAACCGCAAAATGCGGTCGGTTTGCGGTTTCAAAAATCACCAAACCGCAAATAGTCGGTCAGTTTGCGGTTTGAGTAAAAATTCGCGGTTACCGAACCGCAACCACCCCTACTCAACAATAGGACTGATGGCGCGCGAAAGCAAATTCACGTACGGACCAACCAGAAACATAGCGCTTCTCTTTCGCCTTCGAGTTTTCTAGAGATATCGAAAAGCGGTGTCGTTTGGAAACCCATCAGCCGTCATCACCATAATGTCGTCGCCGTCGAAGAGGATCACCCTGAAGAGCTCTGATCCCGCACTTTTCGAGGTTGACGAGACGGTGGCTCGCGAGTCGCAGATCATCAAGTATATGATCGAGGACGATTGCGCCGACGAATGCATTCCTGTACCCAACGTGAAGGGCAATATCTTGGCCAAGGTCATCGTGTACTGCAAGAAGCACGCCGACGCTGCTAAGCCTGATTCGAAGATCACCGAGTACGATCTCAGGGCTTGGGATCAGGACTTTCTCGACGATGTTAACCAGGAAACCATATTTGATCTCATTCTTGTACGTTCAAACCCTATCTTAACCCTAATAGCGATTCTCTTCTTGGTGGCGGGCGATTGTTTTGTTTAAACTTTAATTATAGTATAGGGTTTCGAAAATTGGGGCTGGCTGTTTCCGAATTAGGGATTTGGTTCAATTTTGTTTAAATTTTGGATATGTTTCTTTTGTTAAAGGTAGGTTTTTACTCTATCAGATGTTTTCTATGATGGTTGATTGGTGATGCTACGATTAAATTGATTGAGCTTTTTGTTAGGTGTTTGATTTGGGAGTTTTTACGTTTTCGAGTTTGTTTATGCTGTGTTTTCTTTACTGATGCGATGTCTTGATGATGAAATTTTGTGCCTGCATAGCTTCTACTTCAAGTTTGTGTGTGCGTCTGTTGAATTGAGATAAAGATACAATAGCTTCATATTGAAATTTTGTTGCCTTCTAAAGTTCGGTAGTATGAAAATGTGTCTCTTTCTGTAACATCTGTGATGTGTTAGTACTGATAATACTTAACTAGATTATTATGTAACGTTATTGTCTAGTTTGTGGTGATAATATGGTCAGAATAAATGGATTATGGATATTGGATGTTACGTCTATTCTTGTTCAGAAATTACAGTAATTTGATATGTTGTTTTTCTAACATGTTGCAATTTCGGTTCACAGGCTGCAAACTTCTTGAACATCAAGAGCCTGCTGGACCTGACATGCCAGCGTATTGCAGACATGATCAAGGGGAAGAATCCGGCAGAGATCCGAAAGACCTTCAATCTAAAGGACCAGTTCACCCCGGAGGAGGAGGAGGAAGTTCGCCGTGAGAACTCGTGGGCATTTGAATGAAGTTCTTGGCGGTGTTGTTTCTTTAGTTGGAACTTGGAACTGAAAACAGTTCCATGCCCTATCATGTAGTATAGTTAATCAACTGACTTGTTATCATTCTCTTGAGGGTTTTACATTCATAGATTTCGACCTCATCTGGATTTAGTTTCTCTTTTGTAAACCCTCTCTTGTAAACATAATTCCCCATAAGACGTGTGTGTGCATAGCTGGTATCAGCGCTAGTACCTTTGGCCTTGAAGACTCGAGTGTGTAATATATGTCTGGTATGTAATAAAATTCCATTTTATTTCTTACATGTTTAATTATTCAGGTTTTCTGGTATCTGTTTTATATTGATCTATCTAAAACAAGATTAATTTATGTTCTCATCAAATTACACATGAAAATTATATTTAAAAAAGGTGGGATCATATCGATATTCCTCTCTTTGCTTTAGCATGGATATCAGGCAACAGTCGCGGAGAGCTGCTGCTTCTGTTGGAAGCAGGCAGTGACGGCGTTCTAAACCATGACGTCAGGTTCGTGGGTTTTGTTTGTGCTTTCAGGAAAACGGTGCGTGGCGAGAAGGGAGTCCAGCTCAGAAAAGAAAACCCAACAGAAACCGGAGTTAGAGAAATGAAATGGTGAGAGGAAGCATTAAACTTCTCAAGGATGCTGCTGGGTCTGGACTCAGCAAGACCCTCTCTTAGATACTCGTCTGCCCGCTTTCCAAACAACCTCTAAGGTCAAATGCCCATCTCTCTATTTTCTATTATTCTCGTTTTTTATTTATAAAATTTATAACGTGGCTTTTTTTTTTTGGGGTAATTGTTGGTTAAATTGGCTTGTTTGTGGGTTATTTGGTAGGTTTTGTGAGGATACGAATTCCCTAATCAGTGATGCACTTGGTGTCTCCTTTCCTTTGAGTTCCAAGTCCAATTTTGAAGCAGCAATTGAGTTTTTTTTCTTTTCTTTTTCCTCCTAGTTTGCTCTGAAGTATCCATCACTGAACATGAATGATTGATAGAGGTTATCTGTTGATCTGAACATGAATGATTGTAAAAAAATTTGTCTTTTCTGTATGTTTTTGTGCTGTGTAGCTGATATCTTATATGATTCCTTCCTGTACTGATTATTTGATAGATAAAGGATGGGATTCCTTGCTTAGTACCAACAGATGGGAAGACCCTTGAGGCCGATGATACATTAAAACCTGAAGATGCTGTGAAATAGTCCGTCAAACACGAGGCAGATCAAGGAGGCAGTCATTAGGTTGAATTTTGAGACTCATGGTATTGTCACAAAGTGAGTTACAATTGTGGGGTATACTGCAAATTCTAATGCGTCTCCTTTTCCAAGCTTTTTGTTGAACTGGTTTCTTCATTGTTAGGAGATGGATGGAAGGTCACATCACTAACTTTTCTTAAAGTGAATTCTTATTCCATTTGTGAGGAAGTGCCTGAGGAATTCATGAATGGCTTGTTACGCGATACCTTTCAAATGATTCTGTGCTTTATGATCTGAGAGGAATTCTGCTAGGGATGTTCTTTGAAATTTTTTCCAAGATGAAAAATTATACTAAGAGCTTTCATTAATTTTATTGTTTGGTTGAATAAATTCATTTTTCATTTCCATGGCTGCTATGTCTTTTTTTTCCCTGTTATTAGCTTGTGTTAAAAGGTTAGGGTTGTCTGTTGTCTAAAATGTTTTTTTAATGGCTTTTGCTTTCGGTTGAGCCTTCACAGGCTCGCATTTGCCTGTGCTATGTTTGGGTGCCTAGGTTGTACCAGCTCGATGCGGGAATTAGAACTAAGACTTCTATTTGTTTCTTAAGAGACCATTTAAGATTGTTAGCTGGTTATCTTCTATGTCACCACCCACATCTCTTACTTCAGCTTCACTCTCCCTGCCCTCGCGGTTATGTTTTACTTCCTCGGAGTCTCTCCTGGTTCTAATATGTTTGTGTCAAAACACAGCTTGTTTTAAGCTGTTGGATGAAAATCCATTAATTAGAATGATAAAGACTTGAGACCTATTTATGTGCCTGCATATATAAATCTTATAAGTAGCTCACCTTGACCTACATGACAGAGTAGCTCTACCTTACCCTTTAAACCATCCGTACCATCGCCCGGTTAGAAATCCAGGCCTTGAGACACCTTACATTTTGCAAGGATACCTAAGCAACTAGTCCAAATTCTAATTAGCCCTGGAATTACTGTTATTTTCTTTTGGAAGAAATGCTGTGATTTTCTGGAATTATTGTTTGAAGTTGAAGGAGGCATCTCTTCTGTTTTTAAACACGTCATCCAATTCATTCTGGTCTTCAAAGGTTACCACTTGACCAAGTAGTCTGGTATGAGACATCAATTTACCTCCTGACTTGACAAGCAAGCAGTTTGTTTGACCCTGACATTCGTTCGGTTGCAAGTTTACATCGCAATGTTACCCTCTGCCATAAATCCCCTGGCTCACCAGAAAAAATAAAAATAAAATAATACTAATTATTTGCCATCAACGCTGATTAGCAGTACCTTAATATTTTTAAGGTATCATTTGTTATAAGTAGAAAATGAAGCAACATAGGGAAGCAAGAAAACCAAAGTATTTAAGGTTTTAGAATAATATAACTCTGTGATTAATAAAATTAAGAAAGGTCAAGAGTAACACTCTCTTTAGGTGTAACTGCCTTGTGCTGTTCCTTTGAGAAATTGTTCCTTAACATATCAACCCTTCCAACCCACGCAAAACTGCTGACCACGTTCTGTTTTCTCCAACTATAAACTCACCTTGTTCAAATGCCAATCTAATCCTTCATTAACAAACCCAAATGGTTCTCAATAGGGCAGCCTCCTTCATCTACAATTTCTTCAGTCCGCTTTTAGGACAGACAAGTTTTAAGGCAGCCCCATGTTGCTATGAGGTGATTGAATCAGAGGGTGGGAAGATAGTTGAGGAGGAGTTTTGTTGTGTGTGTTTGTCAAGATTGGTGGAGGGTGAGGACGTGAGAAGTCTCCCTTGCCTGCATGAGTTTCACAAGGTGTGTGTTGATAAGTGGTTCGACGCATGCCGGACGACCTGCCCGCTGTGCCGGTTTCCGGTGGGAGGGAACAAGTCTCAGGTGGTGGAGTTGCTGACTGAGGAGATGATGTTGTATTTTTCTTCTTTTCATATATCTGGGTTCTAAGTTGTGAATTCCGCTTGATGTTTGCTGGTAGTGTTAAATTTGCATGGCAATGGCAAACCACAGGAACATTGAGTGAAACCAAAATCTCACAACCGTGAGTGGATGTGTAAATGTTTTAAAAACAATCAAGGAGACTCTATCAACAGATCCAACTCAAGCCTGCGTCTTTTGAATCAAACACACAACATTTCTTTCTTTGATTTACTTGCATTTGGAAAGAAAATTTCAAAAATAAAACAGTGCACATTTGAATGAGACCTTGGGTTGGTCGAAATTTCCATCCATTCCGCATAAACAATTAGATGGGTGCGGCCCAATTAGAGGCCCAGATGAACTGAGTGCTTAAAAAGCAAAAAGTTCCGTTGCCGGGAATCGAACCCGGGTCTCCTGGGTGAAAGCCAGATATCCTAACCGCTGGACGACAACGGATTTGATGTTAAATCGTAGCACAAAAATACTAATATTGGAAATCTGTATTCACTGCTCAAGCTTTTTGTATAAAAATGTTTTCAGACCATATTTATTCTTTGAGTTTTCTCTGTTGTTTGTAGATTAATACTCACAAACTTGTTTCCTTGACTATCGACGAGAGACCGAACTTGTCTCTTTATTTAAACTATCCCAAGTACCATCAATATATCTTTAGACAGATTGACTTGGAAAATTTAAAGTTTCAAACACAAACAGACAAGTAGGTTCAATCACACTTTACATCTTGCAAACCAACAAAGAAGTGGAGAGACAAACATATAAGGTGGAGCCTCCCTCGCACCTTGCAAACAAACAAAGAAGTGCGTAACGAATATCTACCGAACTGTCCTATAAATTTAAGGGTTGAGTGTTGATTTGCTCTCTGAACTTGTATGCTACTTTCAATTTGCATCATCAATTTTTTTTTTTTCCTTTCAGGAAAATTAAGTTCACGAACTAATTTTTATCTCCAATTTCCCCTGCCATATAAATATCAATATTTAATTCAATTTACCGTTAAATATGAGGAGAAATTAGTTATTTTATATTTTGAAATAATTAAATGCCGTAAAAATAAAATAATATGACTTTTAAAATGAAAAAAAAAAACAATTTAAATAAACATCAATCTTACTAACACAATTAAAAGACAACTTTATAACCAAGGTGGTTGGTGTGAGTGGTTCGGCACTCTCATTCCTTAAGAGAGGTCAGGGGTTCGATCCCTGCTCTCGTATGGAGTCACCACTTTGGCCAGCACTTTACTCCTTACGGGCCGACCCGGTGTGAACGGGGATTAGTCTGGGTTGTGGTAAGGTGTCTTCCATAGTGGGGGCCCATCCAGGACCACCCCGTGGTTCAGACCAAAAAAAAAAAAAAAAAGACAACTTTATGATGGGCATTATACTTGTCCTACATGTTTCGTAGGCTAAAAACTTATCAATTGTTTACACTTCATCCACCGTTCTCCCCCCCTATCCCTATTTGGAACTAGAAACCTTCTCAAACCATAAATAGAACTTGGAACTCCTAATCTGACAAGTGTCTTGCAAGGAGGAGGGAAGATGATAAAAAACTGAGTCATGTATTTACCTTTGTCCTGACCCGCCGACATCAATCTCCACATCAGTCCAAAACATGATAAACAAAAGCTAAAAACAAAACTTCCCACTTTCCAAAAGTTAATCGCAGGCATAATCACTTGATTAACTTGCTAAGTTGCAATTAAGGGTCGGTAACTTTTTCCCACGTTATCATGATTGCTTCTTTTAAACCGTCCTATAGGGGCATGGCAAGTAATCATCTCCATGACCAAGATATGCCCTTATAGCCGACAACGTAGGACATTAATGGCTGCCTGCCATAGCAAAGAAAAAGTATAGCTTCTGCATGTGGCTACGCCGATGGGGTGACTAAAGACTTGGGATAAGAGATAAGAAAATGCAGAAAGCAATTGGCCAGGTGAAAAGTTATTCAACTCTATACATGTTCTAGGCATCCTATAAATTGTCCTTGCTATGATTCCCACTTACCCTTCAAACAGTTCACTATGGGGGGGTTTTTTCCATGAAAATGGAGAATTGGTTTCAAGAAAATGAGGGGAAAACAATTTAATGTCAACGAAAGCGAAGGAAAAAAGAGATGAATACGAACAAAATAAACAAGACCCACCAAAATTAAGTTCCTTCTTGTTGGGAATTTTTTTTTCTTCTTTTTCTGCATACATACATTGAAATTTGAAAGTCGTTGTTATAATATTTCTAAGCCTAAAACTTGTAGAAAAAGATACATTCATTTCACCACCTAAATATCACCACAAAATATTGAAGCACCCATGGGTCCGGCTCTTATAACTCAAAATCAAAAGGAGGACCTCGGAAGAAAAAAGAAAAAAGAAAAAAGAAAAAAAGCAATGCACTGAGGTTTTTCAAAATGGAGCTGTTGAGGATCGATGAAGATTGTGCTTTTTGGGTTGTTGAGAAGCTGCTGCAAAACATAACTGCATATATATAAACAAGTCAAAGAAAATAACTTTTTTTGGAAGCAGTAGTTTTGCTTGTAATAAGGACAAACTAAGACTGCTTTCCTACCTGTTCTTGCTGCCTTTTGAGTCTTGAATTTTCTTCCATCAAATGTGCAACTTCTAGCTCCAACTCATTTGTGTAAGCCTGTTGGTACCAACCAGAAATCATAAAAACACAAAAAGCAAAAGACTCAGTCCAGAACACAAAAAAAGCAAGACTAAAAAAATAAAGAACAGATACAAAGTTTATATAAATAACAAATAGATCGAGCAGCAGATTCTCTGTTCTTGATCATGCGATTATGTCTTCGATCTCCTCCCGAGTTGCTATGATCAGAGTCAGGGAATGCTCTCTTCCCAAAAGAAGGCAAGCCAGAAGAGGAAGCAGCCAAGCTCTCAAATGCGGAAGCACTGAAAGAATTAGAAACACTACTAGAAATGTTGTTGGGGTTAGACTGATGGTGATGAGGACGAAACTCAGAGGAGGGAGGCCTAATAAGAGGGTCAGAGACATAGAAAAGCTGAAAGTGATCAGAGCCAGAATTGGTCAAGCTGAGAATAGGGGGAGGGCCTGGTGGAGGCAGAGGAGGAGAGGCAGGGCTGTTGAGAGTGGCCTGCTCAGTGGGTGTGGAGACCAAGCTGACTGGAGGTTCATTGTGGGAAAAGGGTCTAGCAAGGAAGTCTTGAAGATTTCTGAAGTTTGGGTCGTGGGTTCCATGAGGGAGATTAATGTGGTGAAGGAGTGATGATCTCCTGTTTGGGGTGGTCTCAGAGAGAGAGGCAAGATTGATGTCTTTCCAAACCTCTTCCATGGTTCTCTGGGGGGTTTGGAGGGAAAAGGGTTGCTGTGAAAAAGGGGAAGGGGATGATGAGGACCAGGATGAGTTGGTGGATGAAGAAGCTACTCTCTTTGGGGTATTAGTACTGTTGTTGCTGGTTGTGTTGTAGTTGGTTTGGTCACTACTACCTCTGCCAGTTGATGTTGATGACAACATTGAAGAGAGAGAGAGAGAGAGAGAGAGTTGTGTTTTTAGAGAAGAGCTGAATGAGAGAGGGATTGGTTCTTTTTGGCACTGTATTTGTGAATGACTCAATTGTTTATGTCTTTTTTCTTTTTCGGTCAAGAATGACTCAATTGGTATTTGGTAATGTCTAAAATAGGCTGCAGCCATGGAGCTCTTGTTATTGGGAAGGAAATATAGTTTTTTCTGTGTGTGTGTGTGTTTCTGCAATGAGGCCATTTCTTTCTCACTTTCCCTTTTTTAATTGGTTAAGGGTCTCCCAAGGAGAGACAAACTTCAGCCTCCTCAGCTTATAATCAAGTCAAAAATGTCATCTTGGCAAGTGTAGTTTTAAGGGAAAATGATCTTGGCTCTTCTGTCATGAAGATTCTGCTTGCATCTAAACCCTAGATTGAAAAAAGTTTTGATCTTTTGTTGCAAAAGAGTTTAGATTTTCGGATTTTGCATTAGATATACAATGAGTTACTATTGGCAAATATGATTCTATCATACATGGCAAACGTTACGTATGGCCCCAAAGACTTTTGGTGGCAGCAGCGTCGACATAAAAGTGAAAGAGGAATTGGTGATCAAACTCATACTGAGCTACGCAGTTGACAGTTTGATAGATATTTTATGTACTTTTTGATTTGGAAAATAATATTTTATGTGCCTTGATATTCCTATGAAGCTCAATTTATTTAATGTTTAATATTTAATACTTTGATTTGCACCATAGCCACCACTTACCAGATATATATATATATATATATTTTAGTCGAAACCACTTACAGGATTTACACACCTGTATTATTCATGGGATAATTTCCTGCACTTGCAGGTGGGCTTACTTGGTGCCCTTTTACTCCCGATTCGTTTCAATTGGAGAATGGATAATTTATCTCCTCTGCAATCATTATTTTGGCCAGTAGTTCTGTTTGTCTGTGTGTGTCTCACCAGGTCAATAGTGTTTCTGGTATTTATTTTATGTTGCAAACTTTGCTTAAATCAGGAAAGGAAATGAAATGAACATGATCATGTGTATACGTTCTCTTTATAATTACAATATGATTTCTTGGTGAATAAGCTAAGCAATATAATTCATGTTAGCAATTTTAGCATTCCCCTGTTCAACATCGAGGGCCGGATTTCTCAATTGATCAAAAAATTACTTATAAATCCTTAATTAGGACACATACGGTACTAAAATGAAAACCGATATGAAATTGTAATTTCCAATTTCGAGTCTCAACCTATATGAAGAGGCTACAAAAGAAGGGTGGAAAAATCACTAATCATATTGTAGACCATCCGTGAATGCCAGCCAGGAATGCAGTGCTACATTTGGCCTTGCATAGGAATATATTAAAAAAATTACTTGCACTTTAATGGGATGTGATTTCTTTTGATTTGCAGTGTTCTTTTGATTTGCTCTCATTTACAAGTGCCGTACATTGACAGTTGGCTCATTGTGTACGATGAAATTTTGGCACTGTGAATTTGACACAAGACAACCGTAGGACCATACACTGTTGACCAGTTCTTGAAAATTTTAGCTTTTTTAAATTTATTTTTCCAACCAACCAAATTAGAAACAGTAAATTTGTTAACCATTTACATGTGTTGTCAAGGGAAAGCATGGGAAGTTGGTCAGGGATTTGAGAGATTGATCAAAATATTGCAGACAGAGTCTAGTCTTGGAGCTATAGCCATCTGTCACCACAGTATTGCTCTGTCCCAAACTCTTTCACACCCTTTGTGCTTCTCTCTCTCTGTTGCCACACTGAACCAGCAGAGAACTCCAGAAATAGTTACAAATGCTATCTAATTAGGTGTTGTGTTGTATTATTGGTATTTCTGTCAAACTCTGTTAAATTTTTTGTCGTGTTGCATCATTGGGAAAATAGACAGATTTATCAGAAATGACTAGTAATGCAACACGATACCTAATTAGATGATCTCTGTAATTATTTTTGAAGTTGAATGACCAAAATATAACTCCAAGTATAATTCAAGGACTATTGGTACACTTAAGCCTTAAAATTTAAAATGAAATTATGAGGAAAAGGAAGATTATCACATTCAACCTATTATGTGTCAGTTTTTCTTTTTCTTTTCTAATGGCCTAGAAATATGCATGGTATGTATTGTACCATTATTAGTTACTGTTTGATGCATATGCAAACAATAAGAGTAACTCCACCCATTTGCCTTTAGTTATGGTAAGAGGGGAGCTAGAGCAGTCACTATTCAAGTGAATAGTGGTTGCCCTTACAAATAGTATTTTGTGTTTCCACATGTTGTCATAACAAAGGGTAATTATTATTCATTTTTTTGTTTTTTTCACAAATTTTTTTACCTTAAAAATTAATTTGGATAATATTTTCAAATAAGATTTTCGGGTTCCTACTTGTCAATACTATTCATATCTCATAATCGGATAAAATTTTCAATTTCAAATTTCAGATAAATTTTTAAAAAAATTGGCTGGTATTTATTGGAAAAAATTCATTAATTTTTGGGTATTTTTTTAAAAAAATTCCAGTATTTTATTGCAAAAAAATTGACTGCCGTTGGATTGGAGGAAAAAATCAGATTGGAGAGCCCAGACAACGCCATGTGGCCAAAAAAAATAAAAATCAAATGAGTGGGCTGACGCCAGCCTAGCGTCAGTAATGACATCAACCCAATCCTCAGGCTTGAGTTTGGGCTGAACTAGCCTGAAGGCCAGCCCGACTTCGTTGGTCCTACTCCCAACCCGGGCTTAGGCTCCTCGCTGAAACTGGGTTTTTTTTAATTTTATTTTATCCCCCCAGCCTTTGGCTGGACTTGCCGCTGGAGTTGCTCTAATAAGAAACTTTCTTTTATGGTTGGTTTTTTTTTTTGGTCAACCAACTTTCTTTTATGGTTTATTAATACAAAGCAAGCAATAAAGAAGGAGGGCACCTTGTTGCTGTCTATATTGATGGGATGGGGTTTGATTTGATTGAGGCTAAATGGCTTTCCATAACTGAGTTACCAGAGAAACACAGAAAATTAAAATGAATAAACAAACAAAATCAAGCAAGGTTCTGATATTCTGATATTATTTTTAATACCCAATGTGATTGATTTGTCTGCTTTGCTCAGTCTAAAAAACATGGGGGTGTAACAGAGGAGCAGTCTTTTAACCTTTGGGTTTTAGGATGATGCTGTTTAAAATCCAGTAGGCTCAAATCTCAAGGCAAATCTGTAGGCATGGTGGCCCAAAAAAACACTTATTGCTCTTTGAGCTCCTTTTTCTGCTTTATGGGTTTCTTTTTGGCCACTTGAAGTTGTGAATGAGGTTCTAATTCTAGCCAACCAAATCCATGATAACCGTTGCACTCTTCTTGTTCTTGCGTTTTTTCTGTGTGTTTGGGATGTGCTTGGAGCCTCTGGTCTGGACTTTATAACCATTTATGCAAAAGAAAATACCACAGGCTCAATCAGAATGTCTAAATTTGACACCTAAAAAGGTTTGGAGGTTGGGGGGGAAGGAAAGTATGGCCATTTGTCCAAAATCCCCCAACCAAGATGACATCTGCTAAACAAACTAATACATATATTTATATAAGATGTGACTATCTTATATAGCTTTGTTTGTATGTAGGTACATGCGTTGTGGGGGCAAAATAGCACACTTGGGGCAGACAGATGACTGGTGTCTTTCCCTTATTGGGTTTTGGTTTTTATTCAAATGGGCTGGTGATGAGATGACTAATTAAGACGAGCGGGAGATGCCATGACCCAGAAAAGTTAATAAAACTGAGTGACATCCATGCACCAAAACTGACTGATTATGGCAAGCATGAGATGCGTGATTGTAATCAGGGTTTTTTTCTTCTTCCAAAATCAACGGGGAAGAAAGAATTCTAACTGACTAATTATGGCAAGCATGAGATGCGTGATTGTAATCAGGGTTTTTTTCTTCTTCCAAAATCAACGGGGAAGAAAGAATTCTAACTCGAGAATTATTTCAATATTAGGAAGAAAATTATCACTAGATTAATAACTACTCGATTACGCATCCTCTCACCTTATATATGAGGTATATTATTTGATGTCTAGCTAATCTTAGTGGGAAAAGAGTGGTGGATCCATCCTAATACAAAATGATATCATGAAATGCAACCAACTCTCTTCACATGATATGATTTGCTTAACTTTACCTCCAAAATGTTTCCAGCACTTCAGTTTGGGAGGAAAATCCAAGATCATCGGCTTTTATCCACCACGACATTGACAAGCCCTTTTTTTTTCTTATTGGGTGAAGCATGAACTATTTGTCACTTTGTTGTAGTCGTACAAAAACTATTAGATGCGGCCCAACCAAAATGACAACAATCTTTAAAAGGGTTAACTCCAAGCCTTCCCTTGTCATACCCCATTTTGCACAAACTACAAACAAAAGAACATTCTACGAAGAAAAATCTTTTCTTTACAATTTTTTTTCCCTTTTCGTATTGTACACGTTTGCGTGCAGAAAATTGATTTGTGATTTATTTACATACATTATGCAAAAACATACGTTGTTTGACAAAAAATTAGTATCGTTTTGAAATTAGCAAACAAAATGTGAGACTCAAACTAATAAATATAACGTGAGAACCTTGGGAAATTTTGTTCCAACTAGGGACACAAAGAACTTTTTAAAATATGGAGAAACTGAAATACATATAAATAAATAAAAACATATTAGAAAATAATAGAATAAATAAATATGATCCGCTACATTTAATTAAAATATCAAACAAAAGCTTAATCCAATGATCCTGAGCAGGGAAAGTTCCAAAGTGCAATCAACATGAAGTACCAACCGCATCCAGTTCCGACCTGGATACATCAGTTGGTTCCACCGGGAACCATTTATGCCGTAAATCCTCAAATGGTGAAGATGATAGAAGGTATACATATATGTCAATTTAATTCTAAATATTATATTAAATGTGAGAATAATAAAAGATGATCCTCATGCCATCAATAGTAGCCGAATTTACTGTAGCACCGCCCAGC